TCACGATCTCATGATTCGTGAGTTCGAGCCCCGCATCGGGCTCTGTGCTGATAGCTCGGAGCCTGAAGCCTGCTTCGGATTCTGTGTCTCCCTCTCTCGCTGCCCCTCCCCTATTCATGCTTGCACTCTGTCTCTGTCAAAAATAAATAAACTTTAAAAAAATAAATTAATTAATTAATTAAATAAAAATAACAAGGTAAGGGACTCCTGGGTGGCTCAGTCAGTTAAGCGTCTGACTTCATTACTGCTCAGGTCATGGTCTGATGGTTGTGAGATGAAGCCCTGCATTGGGCTCCTCACTCAGCATGGAGCCTGTTTAAGACTGTCTCCCTCCTTCTCCTTCTGTCCCTCCCCCCAATTGCATGCGAATGTGTGCACACATGTTCTCTCAAAAAACAAATACATTTTTAAAAATTAATTATTTATTCTGACACGATGACAATAAATTAAGTGAAAAGTACAAGTTGCAAATAGCATGTATGATATACCATGTCTTTACCAAAAAAACTCACATACTAACTTACTGCTAATCTTTTCATATTATTTTATGTAAATAAGAATGCTTAAAAGTGCTGAGTTGTTTTACTGAAAAGCTAGATTTTTCATGAAGACATTTTTATTTTTTCATTAATTTTTTAAAGTTTATTTATTTTGAGAAAGAGAGAGAAACAGAGCACATGAGCAGGGGAGGAGCAGAGAGAGGAGACAGAGAGAACCACAAGCGGATTCTGCACTGTCAGCTCAGAACCCAATGAGGGGCTCAAACTCACAAACCTCAAGATCATGATCTGAACTGAAACCAAGAGTCAAACACTTAACCGAATGAGACACCAGATGCCGCAGGACATATTTTTAGCATCATTAAGTTTCTATGAAGGAAAAATATTAGAACATATGTGATAACAGTTTTAAGGCCGCCAAGAATTACCCAACTTTGCTACTGGGGTGACAAATTACTAGTTCAAAGCTTCAGTTGACAGGAGAGAATTTTACACTTTTTAAATTGTTTTAAGTTTATTTATTTATTTTGAGAGACAAAACTCAAGCAGTGGAGGGGCAGAGAGAGAGAAAAAAAAAATAGAAAGTCCCAAGCAGGCTCTGCATGGACATGGGGCTCAAACTCACAAAACTATGAGATCATGGCCTGAGCCAAAATCAAGAGTTGGACACTTAACCGACTAAGCCACCCAGGCACCCCTTAAGTTTAATTTTTTAAAGAAATACTACAAATAAACATTCCAAAGTTACAAAATGGTAGATTGTGAAATATCTCCCTCCCATTCTCCTCTCCCCAAAGGCAACCATATTACAAGTTTTGGGATATCCTTGCGAAATATTCTATACACATACAAGCAAACAAGCACATAGTTTTCCTTTTCTTAAAACCAACTTTTATACCCCCCCTTTTTTTTTTAATTTTTAAATGTTTTTATTTATTTTTGAAGGAAAGAGAGACAGAGCATGGGGGTGGGGGGGGGGGAGAGCAGGACAGGGGCAGAGAGAGAGGGAGACACAGAATCCGAAGCAGGCTCCAGGCTCTGAGCTGTCAGCACAGAGCCTGACGCGGGGCTCAAACTCATGAACTGTGAGATCATGACCTGAGCCGAAGTCAGACGCTCAACCGACTGAGCCACCCACGGGCCCCTATATTATTCTTAATAAAGAATTTAGCTCACTTTGCTTGCAGGTTTTAGAAGAATTTTCAATATCACATTTTATAGCCTTACGTTGACTTCCATCTTTCTCAAAGTTGTGGGAATTTCAACTGAATTCCTGAGGCTAAAGGAAACACTAAATACAGTAATATTTAAGAAACACTAGACTTAGTACTATTTATTGGGGAAACTCAAAGTGATTTAATATATATACTCTACTTATATGCTTAACCAATGTTAGATTGACAAACGCATAGTTTATGCCATGGTAAAGTCGGAATTTTAGAACGAAAACACCTCAAAACATATGAACAAATTTATTGTTACTGTTCTCTATTAATTGTTCATATTTTTACACTTGCTGGTCTCTTGATCTGGGATACCCATCTGCATGGTGCAAAGTTCAGCACCTCAATACTCCTTTACTGGCATTTATAACACAATTCGTCCTTTTATGTGTGATGAGATTCTTGAAGGCAGGGAACATAATTTAAATGATCTTTATATTACCAAACCCTAGTACTCTGCCTGGCAGTATTAGACTTTTAACAAGTGGTGGTTAAAATAAAAAAGTTTATACCAGAGCTGATAAATCGAGAAAGTAATGACAAGACCTAAAGATTAGGTCTTGTCAGGGGCACCTGGGTGGCTCAGTCGGTTAAGCATCTGACATGGGCTCAGGTCATGATCTCATGGTTAGTGGGTTTGTGCCCTGCGTGGGGCTCTGTGCTGACAGCTCAGAGCCTAAAGCCTGCTTCAGATTCGGTGTCTCCCCCCGCCCCTCCGCCCTTCCCCCACTCCCCCACTCATGCTCTGGGTCTCTCTCTCAAAGAGAAACATTAAAAAAAAAAAAAAAAAAAAGATTAGGTCTTGTCAGCCAGAGCAAAAGCACAGAGAAGTAAAGCGTTTTTGGAAAACAGCAGATAGTTTGGTGTGACTGGGTGCCCAGTTTAAACAAGAGTTATTAAGTCTGAAAAGGTACGTATCAGGAGGCCTCCAGAGTAAAGTTCAAAATCCTCAGTTTAGCAAGATACATCAAAAGGGTGTTCCCCCAAATAGCTCTGAAGACTAGCCTCCGGCCACCAGCAACCTTAGCTCTGGCAGTATCCAATTACTTGCAATTTCCAAGAAGCATCACATTCTTTCACCCCTTAGCCTTCCCTTGTGCTTTGTCCTTTGCTGGGAAAGCTCTTCTCCCTTCTTTAAAACTCAGCTCAACTGCTACTTTCCCATGGACGCTTTCCCTGTTCCATCAGATTTGATATAGGAGTCTCTCCCCTGCTGACCTCTATTTTGTGGTTCCCTTAAGTCCATTGACATGTCCGGTTCCCCACTAAAGTCTACGCAACATGAACCAGGTTTCATCTTTGCATCTCCATCTTCTTTGGTTGTAGATACTCCGATGTTTGGGATTACTGAATATAACAGACTCCGTTTTCCATTATGCCCCCCTGGACTCATTTGAAAGCGCATATACTCACTCTACAGACTGTAAACCCAAGTTTACAGACTGGTAGGGCTTGAATTTTAGGTCAATTAAAACGACTTGTTAGCCACGCTTGCTGCCCCTCGCCAGCCAACAGGGTGAATGCCAGGCCAGGAGTCCAAGGCCCTAAGTTTGCACCAAGGCATTTCAAACATTTCCCTGTGTCCAACGTGTAGGACACAGCCAGGGCCAAGGCAAATAACATGTGTACAGGGGCCAGGACTTTCACAAAGAACTCCTCCCACTTGCAACTTGATGGATTACAAGGCCACGGACTACGCGTAAAAAGGAGCAAGATCTCAGGCCTGTGAGGTTGCCCAGAACAAGCCCAAACCCCTTTGCTCGGCATTTCTTCCCCAGCGGGCTTCCAGAATCTCAAGGCTGAGGAACAAAGCCAGTTAGAGACGCCCAAAGAGGCAAAAGAGGGGCCGGCGGGGAGGAGGAAGGGAGGGCTTTGTTCTGAGAGGTTCTCGTTCCGAACTCAGCTCCCTCACGGGGCTCTGTTCCCAAGCCCTCCACGCCATCACAGGCCGCAGCCACGGCCCCGCGCATTTGGGATTCCGGAATTGGCCGGGTACTGCACCGCTCCTGAGCAATCCCCGCTCCCGCCCAAGACTTCCGCGCTCCCCGGCCCACTGGGTGGAGGAAGGAACTCCAGAAAGTTCCACGAGCGCCAGGAACCAAGGCTTGCGCCCACCCCCACAAGGCCCTTCGGCACAGCTCCTCCCAGTCCGAGCGCCCCCGCGCCGTTGCCTAGGTAACCGCGGGGCGGTGGCAGCGGCGAAAGGGGCGGGACTTCCGTCGAGTGACGCGCCAGGACTCGGCTACAAAAGACGACGGCTGCGGCGCGCCGGGCGGAACTTTCCAGAACGCTCGCTGAAAAGCGGAGGAGCGGCGGCTGCCCGAGCTGCGCCCAGCAACGCGCTCCTTCCCGCTCCCCAACACCGGCCTCGGCCCCCTCACCGGTGAGTTTCAGCTCTCGCGCTTCCTCTCGTCCCAAGGCCGGCGCCATTGTCGGCACGGGGAATCCGGATGGAGCCGCGGTCGGAGGCGGTTGACTCCGCGTGGGCGGGAGGGTTGTCGGTTCCTGTATTCACGATTTTCTTTTTGGGAGGGCTGGTGTGTTGCCGCAGCAGTCTTCCGCACGCGGTGAGTGGGCTCGAGATGTTTCCTGAAGCATTTTCCACTCTATTTAGCCCGAGGTCCCCAAGGACTTGGAGCCCTCAGCTTTCCAATCGACCCCCCTTCCGTGCGCGCCCCCGCGTCCCCTCTGCTCCGGCTTTCTGGGGGTGGGCGACCATTGGCGCACGCGCGGAAGGAGCCAGGGGGCGAGGGGCTGCGGAGGGAGCGGGGCGGAGGCTGCGGTCGCTTCTCCGAGCTCCTCTTTGTTGAGGGCTGGCTGGGGTTCTCCCACCCCTTCGGTCCCAGGTGGGAGGAAGAAAACCATAACGGTCTGCACCTAACGTAGGGGGCAACCTAACACCATGGAAACTACGCTGACTCGTGGGGGCGAGAGGTGTTCGGTAGTGAAAGTAGAGATGCTATAAGTTCTTTGATTAAGAAACACCCTTAAGATTGCCGGGGGGAGAGCTCGCTTTGTGGTGGCTTAAAATCAGTTTCATAAACCACTCCTTTCCCTCCTCCCCCGTGTCCAAATGTTTTTTTATCTAGGGAGTGTAGGGCTTATCCGATTTACCGGAAGATAAGGATAACGTAAGAACTGAGCCTATTGGTGCTCTTTTTGATTACTGCTGTCATACTGGGAAAGAGAAACAGGAAGAATCCGGATAATAGTGGCGTTAAGTATGGAGCTTTCCTGTGGGAGAGTGGGGACCAGCTGCTACAAAGAAAGGCCTGTGAATTATTCCCTGATAATTACTAGCTGATATTTAGTAAGAATTTATCGCTGAATTACCAAAGGATTTGTTACCTTCTCTGAAGGTTAGGGAAGGTAGTGTTCTATCAGATTTGGGAAAGAGAAGATTTCTCTGCCTTAATTCTGACTTTTCCTAATTAATAGTTGAAAGTTAAAATTGCATTTTATTTCAGGCTGTAGAAAATGGTGAAAGAAACTACTTACTATGATGTTTTGGGGGTCAAACCCAATGCCACCCAGGAAGAATTGAAAAAGGCTTACAGGAAATTGGCTTTGAAGTACCACCCTGACAAGAATCCAAATGAAGGAGAGAAGGTAAGTGATGTACTCCTACTTTTTTTTTTTATGTGTTCAGTCTTAAATGTAGCTGTGTAATTCTTTGCCAGGTATATACTATTTCCATTGCAGTCTGACAATGAGTATGTGTAATACAGTGATTGTTTTTGCAGCACTTTTTTTCTGAAGGGAAATTTTCTTTCTCTCAGTTTAAACAGATTTCTCAAGCTTATGAAGTGCTCTCTGATGCGAAGAAAAGGGAATTATATGACAAAGGAGGAGAACAGGCAATTAAAGAAGGTGGAGCAGGTGGTGGTTTTGGCTCCCCCATGGACATCTTTGATATGTTTTTTGGAGGAGGAGGAAGGATGCAGAGAGAGAGGAGAGGTAAGAATAACCTAGTCCACATGCAGCAAATTAAAGTAGCCCTTTGTGAAAGTAAATTCTTGAGAAATCACCTATTTGAAATGCTTGTTTACATGTTGGTATAAAGTTGCAAACTGACAAACTGCCACTTTGATGTAATTTTTTAAAGTGAGAGGTAACCGAAAACAGCTAAGTCAATCAAGTTCTAACAAGTGCTTGTAAAGTTCTCCAATATGTATGACATTTGGAAGGTTAGCAACCCTTAGGTAAAGGAATGGAGTATAGGAACATAGTATTCAAAACCCTTTTTAGAGATATTTGACCCCTCCCCCACCCTCCAGCCCAGTTGGAGGTGGTGGCCTTGTTCAAAGTGAGTTAAAGTGCAGAAATTTAAAATTTCCTCAGGGTCATATGTAGCAAGGCATCAGAGTCAGGATTAGCTTTTATTATGTCCCAATAGCTTACAGTCTGTTTAATCTCGCTTCAATTTAAAATGTTTTAAAATGTGTACCCCTAACATTTAACAAAAATGTAGTTAAGGAACTTAAAACAATTTGTAATCAAAGTTAATTACTTAGGATGATTTGTCCCACAGAAAAACAGCTGGGTTTTTTTTTGTTTGTTTTGTTTTTTTTTAATTTTTTTAAGGAATGGACTAGCAAAGTCTGACTCCCATTAAAAGGTTTTTTGGTCATGAAACTGGAGGATAAGTCACACTTCAGGAATTGTTTGCTCTCCCTTCTCTGTAGTCTCAAATCTATAAAGGTAAAGAAGGGCAGTTCTTAGCATGCCAGAATCAACTACATGGACCTGTATTTGATACAGAACCAAAGGTGGAGCTAGGAGGAAAAGGATACAGTTAATGGTGCTTCATTGGAAACTAAAAATACTCTTTAGGCACGCTCTGCAGATAAGAGTGAGGGAGGTTTTTCACTGAGGCTTAAGGCAGTACTCATTCCTGGTGGATAAAAGTCTGTGGAAGAATCATTAGCTAGGAACTTATTAATTAACTATTGGCAAGTGACTTCTTTGTAGCCTTTGCATCCTTATGCAATCTCTATTTTCCATTTCACATTTTAAGGTGAGATATGGCACTGCTTTATAGCCACTGGCCACATTTAAATAAATTTCTTTATAGTAGCCATTCTTAGGTGCTAAATAGCTACATGTGATTAGTGGCTACTGTATTAGATATCATGGATATAAAACGTTTCTATTGTTGTAGGTGTATTGAATAGGACTGTATGAGAAATACAGTCTTTAACTACTGTTGCCCCAAAAGTAAATATGCCACGCTTCAGAAAGAAGTGGAAATTAATAGCCTTCTGTAGAGACTGAATAAATATGTCTGCTTTCCTGGCGAATTTTGCTTAGTTAGAACTCAGTGTGCTGAAGAATTTTTGGATGAAGAAATGGTTGGCCATGTTCAGTACCATACTAAGTGAAAGGTTTAGAGTATATTAGGACAGAAATGCAGTTTGGATTAATTTATTGTGAAACCTATTTAAATAACATCGATTTCCCAAGTGATTTTGCAGTTGAGGTTTTTGATTAGCATGGTTTATAAGATGGCCACAAATATGTCCTCGGGCAGATTATTCAATGTCACCCAGTTTTCCTCAACTGAAATCACATCATAGTTCGTGGATCATGTGTGATAATGTGGCCAACTTCTATGTATGTGATAGGTGCTCAACAGATGTGTCCTGTGAGACTAGTCTTTCATTATTCTTTACTATTTTTAAAGTGCAATGAACACAAACATAAATTTCTTAGATTTTTAACGAGCTGTCATTTATTCTAGGTAAAAATGTTGTGCATCAGCTCTCTGTAACCTTAGAAGATTTATATAATGGTGCAACAAGAAAACTAGCTCTGCAAAAGAATGTGATTTGCGACAAATGTGAAGGTATGTATGGTCTTTTCACACCTTTACTATAAGTGAAAATGAGACCAAAGCTCTTCTAGATAAATAAAACTGACAGTACTCTACCTAAATCTTGGAGAGTACGAGTATGAAGAAAACCTCCTGAATCCACCACCTTTTTCCACATGTGTGTTTTATTCCTTTTTTTTTTTTTTTTAACGTTTGTTTATTATGGATGGGAGGGGTGCAAGGAGAAAGGGAGACAGGATCCGAAGCAGGCTCTGCTGTGACAGCACAGAGCCTGATGTGGGGCTTGAACTCATGAAACACGAGATCATGACCTGAGCTGAAGTTGGACCTTAACCAACTAAGCACTCAGGGGCCCCTTGTAAGTTTTAAATACAGTTGGGATCAGTCTAATTTGTGGTGTCTTTTTTTTCCTCAACATTATTCAGAGTTGAACACTTCTGTTCTCTTTAAAACTCTTATGTCATTCTAATGGCTTCCCTGATTTGTAATAATGGTTTAAAGTGTCTTCTTTTTTGGACACTTAACTGTTTAGACCAGTTTCTGGGTGAGAACGTGTAATCTTAAGTTATTTGTTTGAAATAAAGGTATTTTCTAAAGAGAATACATGCTTTAAAATGTTCTCATCTCACAGATAAAGTATTCCTAAAAATTGTGCTTTGGGAGCACATGTTTAAAACAAAAATCTGGGGGCGCCAGGGTGGCTCAGTCGGTTAAGCGTCCGACTTCGGCTCAGGTCATGATCTCACAGTCCGTGAGTTCAAGCCCCGCATCGGACTCTGGGCTGACAGCTCAGAGCCTGGAGCCTGCTTCAGATTCTGCGTCTCCCTCTCTCTCTGACCCTCCCCCATTCATGTTCTGTTTCTATCTCAAACATAAATAAACATTAACAAAAAAATTTTTTTTAAAAATCCGAAATGGTTCTTTGGAAAGACAGTAAAAATGTTATCTATTAACTGAAGCTGGTGGTGGCTATATTTTGTGAAATATAAAAAGGCTGAATTGTAGATTTTTAGGACAGCATTCCATCAAACCTTGGAAACTGAATGTAGTGTTTAAGAACTTTGATTAATATTAAAACATTCATCATATCCAATACTAAATTCCAACATTTCTTTTTAAACTGTTTAGGCCGAGGTGGTAAGAAAGGAGCGGTAGAATGTTGTCCCAATTGCCGAGGTACTGGAATGCAAATAAGAACACCATCAGATAGACCTGGACTGTGGTCTAGCAACTAATCTGTGTGCATGGAGTGCCAGGGCCATGGGGAACGAATCAGTCCTAAAGATAGATGTAAAAGCTGCAACGGAAGGAAGATAGTTCGAGAAAAGAAGATTCTAGAAGTTCATATTGACAAAGGTGAGTTCTGAGTCACTTTCTTATTTTGATAGAACACTGATATCAGCAAATGATTGAATAGTGTTCTAAACTTAATTTTCTTCTATTAAATCATTAGATCTTCCACTTGTAACTGAAATAACGATTTCCTTGGGAACTGCTAGATTAAAGGATATGCCTTTTTTTTTTTTTTTTTTTTTTTTTTTTTTTTTTTTTTTTGTGGGTAAAGATTTTAAGTATTCTCTACACTTACCAGTGGGGCTCAAACTTGACAACCCTAAGATTGAGTCATGGGTTCCACTGACTGAACCAGCCAGGCACTCCAGGATGTGCCTTCTTTTAAGGATAGGGGGGTTTAGGTAAAGAATTCAGGGGGTCTCCTATTTTCTTGCAATTATTCTAAACTAATGAACATGTTTTAACTGGTAAACAAGAATTTATGAACATGTAGCAATGTCTTTCAGACATGGCTAATTTAAAATGAAACTATTACATAATGTGCATACTAATACGGAATTGTCGATCACATGAACCTCATTCCATATTACTACGTAAATCTGCATTAACTTAAGCCTCTGTAATGTTGTTTTGTGTGATTTATGGTACTGCCCTCCTTTCACTTTTCCTTTCTCAGTTGGTCCATGTGTAGTCAGGTTTGGATTTTTTTGCTTTGATAGAACATCCCTTTTGCTACCAACAGTGTTTTTAGGAGAGCATTAGTTGTAAGTGAAACCATATTTGCTGCTTTTATCCATGCTTTTTACAGTAGTGGAACATCGAGCAAAACCAAGTACAGTTGAATTGCTTCACTGCTGTAACAAGACAGCAACTTGGCCTCAAGAATAAAGACAAACTGTTCGTTTTCTCCTATGTAATACTGGTATTGTGGTTTAAGTTCTTAGTTTTTTAGAGATACATCCTCACATATTTAGATTTTGCTTCAAAAAGGGATTGGGGGAAGGGCGTCTGAGTGGCTCAGTCAGTTAAGCATCCGTTTTCCTTCAGGTCATGATCTCTTACAGTTCGAATCTTGAGTTCGAGCCCCATGTCCCCGCATCTGGCTCTGCTGACAGCTCAGAGCCAGGAGCCTGCTTCAGATTCTGTGTCTCCCTCTCTCTCTGCCCCCTCCCCTGCTCATGTTCTGTCTCAAAAATAAGCACTGAAAAGAATTTTTTTTAAATGGAGGGGGGAACATGGGTGAAGGTACTATAATACATGAAGGATTAGTCATGAAATGATCTGCTGGATCTAGTTTGATGGATATTCATTACAGTTTTGGCTACATAATACGGGTTTCATATCTTTCATAATATGTAAAACAGTGGCTCTTGTTTGGGTCCCCTCAGTGATTGGTTCAGGAGACAAGCTGGATATAAGTAATGTTTATTGTTAATTATTATGGTTATGTTTGCCAGTTAACTGATTTGGTGGCAGCATGGGCCTTTTTATTTAATCCTCGAAACAGTCCTGATGAGGTAGGTGTCTGGGAAAGTTGGTATTTATTTTGGAATGTTATGCAACTTATTTCCCCAGGGTAATCCAGCCAGCAGTAAATAGCAGCTCTGAGATTTGGAGCCTCACGTAGGTTTGCGTCTATGGTTTGTGTTCTCCCCTATGATCACTTTCTTCAGTAAGAAATTGATTGAATCATGTGGGCATTCTTAGTCATTTCGGTAAATTTAGCATCCACAAAGACTTGAGCATTTTTTTCAGGCATACACAAACATGCACCAATTTCTTAATAAAGATTCTGACATTAGTTGGATGCTAAATAAGAATGTAAAACTAATCTTTTGTTTTTAGGCATGAAAGATGGCCAGAAGATAACATTCCATGGTGAAGGAGACCAAGAACCTGGACTGGAACCAGGAGATATTATCATTGTTTTAGATCAGAAGGATCATGCTGTTTTTACTAGGTAAAAACTTACCAATTACTCAAACTGACAAATTGCATTTTTTTAAATGTGCTTTTCGTTACTCTAAAAACTTACTGGAAATACTGTAGAAAAGTGTAGTAGAGTTAGGTTATATGTGGTATCTTTTCTAAAAGGCTGTTAGCCATTGTTTCAGTAGGCTACAAACAAAGATCAGATTTTGGTTTTTGGGTAAATTTAGGTAAATCGTTACCTAAAGGATATGCTTTTTTTTAAGAAGTCTTTTGTATGAATATAAATAGTCTTTGTGTAAGCAGTTAATTTGAAATGACCTAAACCTTTTGCCCCTTTTAGTCCAGAGTTTGTGGTAAGTTGAGTTGCTTTTAATTGTAAATAAATGTATAGAAACTTCTCTGTAGAAAACTAAATTAGTATATAAATTGCGGTCTGTTGCTGTGAAATGATACTGTTTATGCTCTTACAGTTAAGAATAAGGATTTGTTAACCCATGTGTTAAATATATAGCCATTGCTAATTTAAAGCTTTGGACGAGAGTAGGGATCCTATAAATCTGTTGGGAATGACATCTGAAGGAACTGGTTTTGAGTTAGTGAAAAAGAACATTCCTATAAGTGTCTTAAATAATGGGAAATGCTATCAAAGTCAGGATTTTGATGGGGTCATTTGAGGTGAATCTACTAGTTTTGTTTTTGTTTGTTTAATGCTTGCTTTTGAGAGAGAGGGGGGAAACAATCCTAAGCAGGGTCTGTGCTGTCACCACAGAGCCCGATATGGGGCTCGAACTCAGGAACTGTTGACCTGAGCTGAAATCAAGAGTCAGATGCTTAACCAACAGAGCCACCCAGGCACCCCTGAACCTACAAGTTTTATTTGGAGAGTACTCTGTGGATAAGTTATTTTACTAATATGAACTGGAAAAGAAAGTCTAAGCACAAGGAGGAAGTGGGCTATACAAAATACAAAAAGTATTTCATAATATGCAAAGCACTATATTAGTAATTCATGTAGGTCAGTAAAAAATTCTTTTATCATTTGGAATTGGTCATCCCCATTATTTAATTTCACAGAACCTAAATCCAGGACCCAGTTGGGAGTCTGTTCTGCCTCACACTATGTCCTTTTCTTCTTAATATCAGCACTTTTTCTTTTTTAAGCTGCACTGTTGTGGGAAAATTTTTTTCCCCTTGTTAAGAAACCAGATTTAAAATTAGGTAATGGGGATGGTAAGTAGTAGAGGCTACCTAGAATGCGTGGAAGGATTCTAAATTCTTACCCAGGAAATGGTTGGCAGGGTTGCTGTTTCTAGATCACAGCTGTTTTGAGAATTGGGAGAGAAAGGACTTTTTTGTGAAAGATACCCTTGCTTGCTGTTAAGAAAATGGATTTGCCTGTTGTGGTACTTCTAATCACTGGTGATTTGAGAGAATTGAGTGTATGTCATATTTATGTTGATAACAGGCGAGGAGAGGATCTTTTCATGTGTATGGACATACAGCTGGTTGAAGCACTGTGCGGCTTTCAAAAGCCAATATCTACTCTAGACAACAGAACCATTGTCATTACCTCTCATCCAGGTATGATAACTTACATGAGCTTGTCTGTTACAGTATTTTGGCGGTCTGCTGCTAGCTAGTATATAGGCACTGAGAAAACTAGTATAATTACTTGTTCAATTAAGTCTCTCCCTGAGCTGAGCTGAAATTGTATGGTAATTGGGTTTCTTAAGGAAGCCCCTAAAAACTGAAAGGTAATTGGATTGCTTCACATATATTTATTCCTGTCAGTGAGCTAGGACATTCCTCTTTATTTTCCCCGCCTCATAAAAATGTGACTGTATTTAATAAAACTTGGCTTCTATGTTTTTAGGTCAGATTGTCAAGCATGGAGATATCAAGTGTGTGCTGAATGAAGGCATGCCAATTTATCGTAGACCATACGAAAAGGGTCGCCTAATCATCGAATTTAAGGTAAGCTATAAAGTAGCCTGGGAATACTTGACAATGATTAGCTTATTAAAATATAACAGAATTACATTTCTGGATGGTAAAGCACATTATAGTCTCTTGTTCAGGAAGAAATGAGCTAATACAAGGCTATAATTAGGATCTTATATTTAGTTCAGCAGAAGTACTTAGCCATTGTGAGTTTTTGGCAAAATACTATAGTGCTTGGTTAATAGGATGGTTCACAAAGCAACCCCCAACCATTTTTTTTCAATCTTAAATTGGCCCTTGACCAACAAATACAGCTTTTATTAAAAACATTTTTGGGGTTGCCTGGGTGGCTTGGTCAGTTAAGTGTCCGACTTCAGCTCAGATCATGATGTCGCGGTTCATTGGTCGAGCCCCATATTAGGCTCTGCTGACAGCTCAGCCTGAAGCCTGCTTCGGATTCTGTCTCCCTGTCTCTCTGCCCCTCCCCTACTCATGCTCTGTCTCAAAAGTATACTTTTTAAGAAATTTAAAAAACATTTTTGGGAAAAGGACTGCTTTTGTGAGGATGAATAGCTTTGTTTAAATTCTGTTACAAGGAATTAGTATGTTTTAGTGTGGGTTCTTACATTGGCTGAATAGAACCATAATCATCACAGTGCAGTTTTACTCCGATGAGGGTTTTTTGTTTTTTTTTTTTAATGCCTTAAATTCTAGTTAAGGCTATACTAGCTAGATGTTTTTGTGCCTTTTAGAACATGTGTTCTAACTTGGGATTGGCAGATTCACCAAAAGATAATGTTCTCAAGTGTTTTTCTGGGGAAAATGGGTCAATGGTAATATGTCTAAGGAGCTACTTGGTTAAGTAAATCAAATGGAACTTATAGTGGAGATTTTTTTTTTATAGGTAAACTTCCCTGAGAATGGCTTTCTCTCTCCTGATAAACTGTCTTTGCTGGAAAAGCTTCTACCTGAGAGGAAGGAAGTAGAAGAGACTGATGAAATGGACCAGGTAGAACTGGTGGACTTTGATCCAAATCAGGAAAGAAGGCGCCATTACAATGGAGAAGCGTATGAGGATGATGAACATCACCCTAGGGGAGGTGTTCAGTGTCAGACCTCTTAATGGGGCCAGTGAAGAACACTGCTGGCATTTTATATGCAGTAGTGAACGAATGAAGGACTATAATCATAGCTCACTACTTGCTATTATTGTTTTTGTTTTAATATTCAACTATAGTAGTGTTTTAAAAGTTAAATGAAGAATAAAAAATATAAAAGCTCTGACTTTGCCCTGTATGTATGATGAATTCAGTGTGCAAGATAAGTTTAATACTTGTAAAAACTACTTTTAAAAACTCTCCCCTAGCATTTGTTAGAGGCCCGACCTTGTAATTGATTTCAGCTCTATGTACATGAACTAGTTTAGACTGAAAATGCTAGGTAAATGTATTGACTTCAGTGTATGACCCTTAATTGTTAAGCTATGAAGTTAAAACTTGTGTTTAATTGGCAATCTGAAAAAGAATTTGTAGAGAAGTGTTGGTCTGTAGTTCTAAGTGGGATTCATTGTGATGCTTCTGCATTTATTCTGTTGCCTCAACTGTTACTTAAAGATGGCATGCTGTGTAATTTGGCCTGTGGTATCAGTGGTGGAAAGGATACCTTTCTAAAGAAGGGGTTTATCATAATCTGCTGTTCGAGGGCTTGCACTTGTAGAACTGCATTCCCTTCTGTGCCATCTTTTTTTTTTTAATATATATATATTTTATATATATATACACACACACACACACACACCAGTCCTGGTTACACTTTTTTTCCTTCTCTTTGGACCATGATAAGCTTCAGAGTAGTGACTTCGGGAGCAGGGTAACTTAGAGTGAAGAGATATTTACACAGAAAAGTAAATTTGCATGTATGAGCTAGGAAGGTGTTTTTTAGGTATGTTACAGGCTTACTTTAAACAATTTAACTTACGTTCCAAAGTAACTGTAATTTAATGTTGGTAGTATAGCAAATTATGATGAATAGCTTTAATTGTATGTTTAAAAGTCATGTTCACAAGCTTAAATCTGGATATCAGAATTAAGCAATTCTTGAAATGTATGAATGTCTCCTTAATATACTGATTACAAAGCATTTCCAGTGTGTCACTACAGGCTTTTTTTTCCCCTAGATTAAAAGCATTGGCTTTTCATTAATTAAGATAGGTAATTTGTCATTTAACTAGTTAAATGGGTAATTGAAAATGGTACTTAACTATAGTTGAATGTTAAACAAGGGTGGGGAGTGAAAGTGGGTGAGGGGTAAGTAATGAGCCAAAAGGGTTTTTAAAAACTTTGCAAACACTGGTGTGAAAATGTGAAAGTTTTTACCCATTTATCCTGATTCTGCTGCATCTCCTGTAATCAGTAAGGTTAAACATTTCTCCAGAAGTGGCCCACATCTAAGTTCCCCTCATAGAGCACATTTGAGTTAAAAAGGAGAAACTAAAACATAAAGTTTTCACACTTCCAGTGTTTGTCATAGTGAAATAATTAGTAACCTGTTATTTTTAGATTGTCATTTTTAGTCAGTACCATACAGCTACCCTTGTGTTTGGGTATGATGCCAGGTACTCAGGAAAGCACAACAAAGTATGACCAGAAATCTTAAATTTCTCCAAAGACCCCTGAGTTGTAATACATATAACATCTTAAAAAATTGAAATCCTCGTGTTTAACATCAGTCATTGAGGGCAACTATAAATTACAACCACAGTGAAATACTACTTCACACCTACTATCCAAAATGAAAATAGGTGAAAACGTGGAGAAATTGGAACCCAGTACCTCAGTGGTAGGAATGTAAAATGGTGTAAAAGTTGAGCAGTTTCTCAAAAAGCCTACAGTTAGTAATTGACTCCTTGGCTAAGTGAGATACTTGTTGCCAGTGTTGTCTGTAAAATTCACAGTAGCCAAAGGGGGAGCAAACCCATACCCAACTAATGGACAAAATGTGATGGTGCGTGTGTGACAGGACAAATTATTGTATGTGTACTTAAATGACCTATCAAGGCAAATTCATAGACCAGTTACCAAGGGCTAGGGGGAAGAGGAATGAATGGTTAATGCTTAATTGGTTGTGATAAAGTTTCAGATAAACAGTGATGGTTCTACAAGGTTGTGAATGTTATTAATGCAATGCTACTGAATTATACAGTATAAAAATAAAAGAAAGATAGAAATCTGAAAAGGAAATAGTTAACCAGGAAAGGCAGAAACAGTTTGTAGTCTAAAAGCTGCCCCTGAGAACTTGGACCAAGGTCATCTCTTAACAGCTCTGACCAAGTCTGCTACAGGAATGCATGTGCATCCACACAAGTGGAGTTCCTGGCCCTAGCACTAATGCTTGCTCTGATGCCTTCCCCATCCACTCATACTTGTAGGGAATAAGAATGTCCCATGAGGGTGCTAATGGAACATGGTGGCAGATCTTCCTGTATGTGAAATTAGCATCAGGTCTTTTTCTGCATATGGTACTGCTTCTCAACCATGGCTACACTTAGTTACCTGGGAAACTAAAAACATGTGAGCCCCACCCCCACCCCACGCCAGGATTTTAACATCATGGAGCTGGGTGTAATAGCTTAAGCACCAAGATGTTTATCAACAGCCAAAGTTTAACACTACCAACATAGGGACATAGTCCTATTAACCATCTAGGATAATGCATTGGTAAGAGAAAGTCCAATAATGGCAGCCTTTGACACTGCAGTTAGAAGTTTGAGGCTCAGACCAGGGAGCTTCCCAGCTTAGATGTACACTTCATCACAGTATCTTTTTTGAAATAATGTAGGAAAAATGTAGGGTGTAAAAATACAGTGAATGAAACTGCTAACAAGCTACAGCAAAATAAAGATGCTCTTTCAAGGGTTTCTTAAGTCCTGAACAGTTATCACTTAACTGGGTTATATCTACAACCTTGTGAGGCAGAACAAGAATCAAAACATCCATTTTAGGAGTGGAGAAACTGCCCTCTAGTGTTCTGGATCTCAAAACAGCAAGGTTGATGAGCCCCAGTGCCACGATTGCAGATTCCATAGGTCAGGGACAGGACCTGAAAATTTACCTTTGATTTATTTACTGGATGACAGAACCACTGCTCTGGCCCAAGTAAGTTAACGGTAAAAACTGCAGTCCCCAGGGGCGCCTGGGTGGCGCAGTCGGTTAAGCGTCCGACTTCAGCCAGGTCACGATCTCGCGGTCCGTGAGTTCGAGCCCCGCATCGGGCTCTGGGCTGATGGCTCAGAGCCTGGAGCCTGTTTCTGATTCTGTGTCTCCCTCTCTCTCTGCCCCTCCCCCATTCATGCTCTGTCTCTCTCTGTCCCAAAAAAATAAATAAACGTTTAAAAAAACAAACAAAAAAAAAAACTGCAGTCCCAGTTGTCATTCAGTGCTCTTTTACTCATCTCACTTCCTGTGGCCAGGTTAGGTAAATAAATTGTAATGGATTGTGGAGACACAATTCATGCATTCTTTGCCTGTTCCCAGACCTAAAGAGAAGCAGCTAACAGCCAGATTCAAAGAATAAAGAAATTGAGCTTTGGAATTGCACCTGGCTTTCAGTGTGTGCTCCATGAACAAGGTATGGGAACCTCTGGAAGTCCCTTTCTTCATGTGTATTATGGAAACCATAATAGGCTGTACTTCATAAGAGTAATTCAGAGAATTAAACAGGGCTGCTTACATAGGAAGGAAGGGCTTTTAGTACAAGTTGAAAAGCAACTGAAGAAAGTAATTGTACCTGAGATTTAAAGAAAGGTTGCCTTGAAATCCCATCCTCAGATTTCAATGTATCCAGAGTCACAAATTTATTTTTTTATTTTGAGAGAAACCAATGGGGAAAGGGCAGAGAGAGCCAAACAGGCTCTGTGCTGATAGCCCAGTTGCTGACGGGCTCAAACCCACAAAACTCATGACCTGAGTGGAAATCAAGGGTTGGACACTTAACTGAGCCACCCAGGTGCCCCCAGAAATACAAATTTCACAACTGAATGGGGAATAGGGCAAATATCCTTACCCTACTGAAGGAAACTTTACTGCTGTGTATTTTAAGTTGTAAGTGCTGGAGACAAATACCAGTTGTATCTGTAGGCTGCAGCAGAGTACCTACTTTCCTAGCTACCTGATGGAACATGTTTTCGGAAGAATGCGGGTGTCCACCTCTGCCCCCACCCTGCCACACAGTTTGGATATGTTCCAGGACCCCCAGTGGAGGTCTGAAACCTAGAAGAGTCCTGAGCGCTATGCACTGTTTCTCCCTATACATACATACCTACCTATAATGCTTATAAATTTAGCACAGTAAGATTAATAGCAAAAACAAAATAGAACAATTATAAGAACATACTGTAATAAAAGGTGAATGTGGTCTCAAAATAGTACTGTACTCACCGTTGTGATGTGAGATGAAATGCCCACATGAGATGAAGAGAGGTGAATGATTAAAGCATTATGACATGCTGTTAGGCTCCATTTGATTTTCTGATGCTAAGTCAGGAGGAGGATCATCTGCTTTCGGGCCGCAGTTGCCTGCATGTAACTGAAACCAGATGAGGGACTGCTGTATGCCATTGGTTACTGCCATCAAACTCCCATTTGCTTATCCTCTCCCGTTGATACTGGTTAAGAGGCCAACAAACATGATCTCTGCCATCTCTTTGTAAAGTGAAAAAGCAGTCCAGTGGTACCATCAGACAGACACCTCCAGCCTCTGACAGTTGGCTCCAGCCAGTGCACAGCACCCACAGCTCATCAGAGACTCCCTAGCCCAAGGATGCAGGCCAGCCAGGTTCCAGCACTGCTCTGCTTTACCCAGACCTGGAACAAGGGCACAGAGACCCCACTGTGTGCCTAGAGGGTCTAAGGCCCTCAAGCAGCTCACAGAGAGCTGGACAGTGGTACGGGCTGGCATGGGAGTCCAGAAGCCAGGGTGGCCCTTCTCTCACCTCAGCTTCAGTCCCTGGGGCTCCTCCCATAAGAAAAGCTATGTGCAGAGTAAGTGCAAATACCTTTTAGGTTTGTACAAAAGGAAGTTACAGACAGTTGCACAAGGGTTTCCTGGGAAAGGCGGAAGACTTAATTTTTTTTTACTTTTGTTATGTTAATTCATTTAAGAAAAAAGGTACATTTAATGACTCTCAATCCAGGCTTCTCTTCACCTGGTCTCCCAAGACACTGCATGCATTGCAAGAATCCCACACTGCAGTGCCTGGAAGTCTCCTTCAGCTA